GGGCGCGCCGCGGCCGCGCAGGGTGGAGCGGAGCCGGAACCGGAGCGGCCGGGACCCCGCGGCCGCGCAGGGTGGAGCGGAGCCGGAACCGGAGCGGCCGGGACGCGGCCCCGGCGCCCGCCCCGAGCGAGGGCAGCGGCCGCGCGGGAGGAGCCTTTTCACACGGGAATTCGGGGGCGATTCCGCGGCACGTGCGGGGCTGTCGCGGCCGGGAGCCCTGCAAGTTGACGGGCCTTTAAAGGAGCCGGGGAGGGAACTTTGCCTCCCAATTCCGGGAAATGCTCAGCATCCATCGAGTGCTTTAAGGCACTGCCTATATTAAAGAGGCAGATTCAGGCCTTTTATGTTTCATCAGGATTATAATAATATAAATTTTAATTTTTTAGATGCCTACATATGCACCAAGGGTGTTTTGAAGAAAGGCATCTCTTAGCAGGTTTGGTTTTTTTAAACTAGGCGAGAGCCCAAGAAGTCCCAACCTGGGAACAAAGGCTGAGGCAAGGAAAGAAATACGTGATAATAACAATAAATGCAATGACCCATATAAAAAGGAAATCAAAAGCAGATCTTTCCCCCTTTTAGTGTCATTTATATGAAATGCCTTAGAGGGGTTTTAGCTATAAACTGCAAGAGCAAGATTACATATTCCCATAACTGCAATTGTTCAAAAGAAAAACCCATTTATGGCTCTTCATAACAAGGCAGATTTAGGTCTGATGGGGTCTTCAGCAGGACCCTGGGAGCTGCACGTGGCTGATTCGCTGGGCAGCTACTGTCTAAGCCCTGCTGCGCACTGTTAGCAGGCTCCAGCGCCTGCAGAAGCAAAGGCATTATATTTACGGAAGGGATATATAGATCAGAGAATAACTGGATTGAAGGAATGAAAGAGAAGGAGCCCCCTTCGCCCTGCCACACTGCTGATCTGGGGAGGGGGCCTCCTAGGTCTGGACCTGCCAAGCGCTGTCTCTCCTCTCCTCTCCTCTCCTCTCCTCTCCTCTCC